CAGCAGCATAGGGACTATCGTGAGAAAAACAAGGAGTACTACCATCTTGCAAAGGAGGTATACTCAGTCTGGCGTAGCAAGGTAGGGGAGACATACTGAAGATGAGACTCATGGACAAGTATGAATGAATGCCCACGCATGGCTTGAGGTATGAAAGTATCAGCGTGCCCACTGCAGTCCAGTCTGGGGGTCAGAGTGAGACTCTAACTCAAAAAAAAAAAAAAAAAAAAAGAAAACTATCCAGGAGGATTTCTGAATTCCTCTGACACATACTTGAGAAGCATTGAGCTACTAAACGCCCCAGCCCTACTTGGTTGCATTTTGCATGGTGACCAGCCTTGCCAGACCCCTACTATGTGCCTTCTCCACTGGACATTGTTCTTGGGTATGGGCCTGCCAAGATCCTGGGCGTGTGGGCAGTGGTTCCTCTGATGCACCGATGAGCACAGGGTAAGTCATGGTATCCTCCCGGCACCCCTCCCTCTGCTTTACTTTCACTTGCGGTCCAGGTACTTCCTGTTGAAGACAGTGGACCAGCACATGAAGCTGGCCTTCTCCAAGGTCTTGCGACAAACAAAGAAGAACCCCTCTAATCCCAAGGATAAAAGCACGAGTATCCGGTACCTGAAGGCCCTTGGGATTCACCAGACTGGCCAGAAAGGTAGGGGAAAAAGACGGGGATAGCAAAAATGGGTGCTCCTTGTCCTGCCCTGCCCTTTTGCCTTCACTGCTAGTGGTGAATGTGAGGGCTGGGTTTTGCTGGATAGAAATTCTCCACTTCTCTCCAGCCAGAAAGTTCAAACTTTCCTCCTCAATGCAAAAAAGACCCAGGAGAAGATAGCTGCTTCTTCCCTTCATAGTCACTACCTATACTGCATACCTTCCCTCCCCTTACCCAAGATATCTTAGTTGGGATGGCTGAAAGTCTAAGGTTCCTGATCTGGGCCTGAGCTAAGACAGTCTGATGCCAGGTCTGTGGTGGTGGGGGGGTGTTTTACAGTTACTGATGACATGTATGCAGAACAGACAGAAAATCCAGAGAACCCACTGAGGTGTCCCATCAAGCTCTACGATTTCTACCTCTTCAAATGGTGAGGAGGCTTTATTCTGACTAGCTAATTTTAACTGTGTGTGTGTGTGTGTGTGTGTGTGTGTGTGTGTGTGTACATGTGCATGCTCACTTCTTTGCATATATTACCATGAGAGAAGCATTCTCTAGTCCCAAAGTGAGTAAAAACACTTCCAAAAAACTAAATATAAAAGCAGCCTTAGCCGGGAGTGGTGGCTTACACCTGTAATACCAACACTTTGGGAGGCAGAGGTGAGAGGATTTCCTGAGCCCACAGGTTCAAGACCAGCCTGGGCAACATAGTGAGACCTCGTCTCTACAATAAATCAAAAAATTTTAAAAAGCAGCCTTGCTGACTTTCCTGAAGTATAAAATATGTGTAGTGCTGATACAAATAGGGTCACAGTTCATGGAAAGGGTATGAAGGTACCAATAAGCCATCTTCATCTCATATTGACCATGGCCCTGCATGACCTTGACCTTTTGTTATTGCTACTGTCCATCTGTAGTGGACTCCTCTCAACTTTTGTTCTCTTTTGCTCCTTAAGTGATTTCTCATTGTTCTACAGGTTAATCCTTATATGGTGGACAAGGCCTCTCATGCACTTCCTCTTGCTAACTTCATGTCAGTGGAACTATTGATTCCCTAGCCACACTAGCTCTTTTCCACTCAGAAGCGCCATACTGTTCTTCTTAAATACAGGCTTATCAGGGAAGCAATTCCAGATTCCTCACCTGTTCCCTCTGACTGTTTCCTCTATAGCACTTAACCAACTGTCTGTCCTTTTGTGTATTTCTGTAAGTTCTGTGAGGTAGGAACTATTTTCCTGCTCATTTCTTTAACACCAAGACCCACCCAGTACTAACTTTGCACACAGTAGCCCTTCAGTAAATCTTGAATGGAGTCGGGCTCAGTGGCTCAGCCTGTAATCCCGCGCCTTGGGAGGCTGAGGTGAGTGGATTGCCTGAGTCCGCGGGTTCGAGACCCACCTGGGCAGCGAGACCTCATCTCTACAATAAATCAAAAAATTAGCTGGACGTGGTAGCGCGCGCCTGTAGTTCCAGCTACTTGGAAGGCTGAGGCGGAAGGATCGCCGAAGCCCACCAGGTCGAGGCTGCGGTGGCCGGGAGCGGCCAATGCACTCCAGTCTGGGCGACAGTGTGAGACTGCAACTCAAAACAAAAAGACAAAAAAAAAAAAAATCTTGAATGAATGGATGAATAACTGTTTGAGGATGGAGGGGTATAAATAGTACTTAATAGAGGTAATACACAGTTGGGGATGGGGTAAAGCCCTCAGCATCATGACCATTATTATTGGGTAGAGAAAACCCTATCGGCTAGGCTCGGTGGCTCAGCCTGGACAACTTGGCGACACCTCATCTCTACAATAAATCAAAAATTAGCCGGATGTGGCAGCACGTGCCTGTAGTACCAGCTACTTGGAAGGCTGAGGCAGAAGGATTGCAGCAGGTTGGTGCTGGAGTAGCTGTGAGTGTGCCACTGCAGGCCAGCCTGGGAGACAGAGTGAGACTCCAAATCAAAAACAAAACAAAAGAAAAAACCCTATGAGCAAAGACTTGGGGATAAACCTTCTGGCAGTGAAGTTGGGTCCAAGTAGCATATGGATGGACTCAAGGTAAATGAGCCTGGTGAGCCCTAGGTAGGTGCAGTCAGTGATGGATCACAGCTGGCACATCGGAAGGAGGGACAGAAGGGAAGCAACCTGTCGTATTTGCAGGGAGGACCAGGAAGTGGTGTGATGTGGCTACATGTAATTCAGCAGCTGTGTCATTATACCTTCATACCTTACCAACTTCTGCAGACTGGATCTTTCTATGGGAGGTTCATGGTGGGAGGGTTGCAGTTATAGTGATGCTAACCAACTTTTGCCAACATATTCTTCAGTCCCCAGAGTGTGAAAGGCCGGAATGACACCTTTTACCTGACACCTGAGCCAGTAGTGGCCCCCAACAGTCCAATCTGGTACTCAGTCCAGCCTATCAGCAGAGAGCAGATGGGACAAATGCTGACCCGGATCCTGGTGATAAGAGAAATTCAGGAGGCCATCGCAGTGGCCAATGCAAGCACCATGCACTGAAATGCCTTGGACGTGGTGCAAGAGAAACCAGCCAGGAAAAACCGGACAGACTTTCACACTAATGAAGAGGCCTCCGTTTTTTTTTTCTTTTCTTTTCTTTTCCTTTTTAATTGGTGTAGTTATGAAGCCTTTCAGGCTGCTTCTGTTTAAAATGTAAAAGAAAACTTTGCCCCCTTTGCATCTTCATAAACCTGCTGCGGCAGACTCCTCAGCCGATGGGGGCTCTGGGTTTCCTGAGAGCCAGATGACCTTGAAGGTGGCTGGCTGACTTTTTCTTTTTTGTCTGGGGTAAGGGGTTGGACTGTTTGGAGAAATGTGGCCCCTTCCCTTCCTCAAGAGAGATGGAATTAATGGTGGATGGACCCTGCAGGGAATCTTCCCAGCTGGCATCCACTGGGCTGGCTAATTTCACTCACCACAGGGAAACCATGTTCTTTTCTTTCTTCATGCTCAGACATAAACTTAGCATCTTAATGGAAGATAAATGAGGGGTACTTCAATTATGATTTATTAAAGACAATTTCTATTGCACCCTCCTCTATGACAAGTGACATTTTAGATGTTAAAGTAAAAACTTTACCATGCCTTTTTTTTTTTTTTTTTTGGCCTAACATTGAGGCCTTAAAACCTGAGGCTCCTGTGCCTGATGGAATTCTTGTAACATACACTTGTGTATCATATAAAGATACCACTCTGTTTCTCTTATGTATTCTTACTCTAGCTGTTTATTAAGAATGACAAGCACGTCTTTTCAACATGTTAGTGAACAACGTCTCTTTATTTGGGGAAAAACCTGGTGGGACAGTGGAAGCAAACAAAGCCTTGCATGTTCATCGAACTGGCAAAGATCTTGCGGGGAGGAGGGTGGGATAGGAAACAACCCAACTCTCCAGTGACACCCCCAGTGCTTGTTATGGGCATGCGCCGCTTCCTCTTAGCCAGCCCCTCCCCTGCTGCAGCGTCTTAGTGGGTTCCGCCCGCTCGCAGGACGCCCTGACGTCAGCGACGCACGCGGCGCAGTGACGAAATCGGCTGGTTTATATTGGCGCGGCCCAGACTGCTGAGGTCTCTGCGGCGCGGTCCTCGGAGACACGCGGCGGTCCTGTGTGTTGCCCATGGCCGACTACCTGATTAGTGGAGGCACGTCCTATGTGCCGGACGACGGACTCACAGCACAGCAGCTCTTCAACTGCGGGGATGGCCTAACCTACAAGTGCGGGCCTATGGGACTCACCTGGGCAAGGAGGGGCGGCAGGCTGGGTGAAAGCCTGATGGGTGTCTCCGTAGAGCTCACTTGGGTGCAGGCGTGAGAGTCAGGTTCCGGGGATTACCCCCTCCTCCCATCTCCGGGGCTCATTTGGACATATCTGGTGTGGGAGTTTGGGTGGAGGGAGGTATCCTAACAGTGTTTGGGATTTCAGGCTAGAGACTCCGTTTCTCTGGACACATGAAATTGTCAGGGTGCCAGGAGCACTGATGACAGCTCGGTGGCAGAAAAGGTCCCCTGCCCCCATCTCCACTTTGTGTTCTGCCTTGCCCGTGATACAAGGGGTCAGTCAGTGCTACTCTTTGCTCGGATGACTTTAGGGATGTTCTATGGGGATGGAGTCTCATGCTGCCATAAAGCCTACTCCCAATTCACTCCCCCGCAGCGATTTTCTCATTCTCCCTGGGTACATCGACTTCACTGCAGATCAGGTGGTGAGTATGATCAGGTATTGGGTCCTGAACATGAAGGTGGGCTAAGGTGCTGCGGTTGCCTGGTCTCTGGACTGTCTCACCAGATTAGGCTTAAGGGTGGATTTTATAGAATAGTTTTATCGGCCATACAGCATGCCTGTTTTGTGAGGGACCCAGTACCACCCTGGGGTATGAAATGCTTTCCCACAGTGGTAGACCTTTGTTTCCTCAGGACCTGACCTCGGCTTTGACCAAAAAGATCACTCTGAAGACCCCGCTGGTTTCCTCCCCCATGGACACAGTCACAGAGGCTGGGATGGCCATAGCAATGGCGGTGAGCTCCAAGAAGTGGGGGGGGGGGGGAGCAGGTATTCCATCTCTCTTCCCAAGACATGTAGTCTTGCCTCTGTCACTTATTCCTTCTCCTCAATGTACCCTGTAGCTCACAGGAGGTATTGGCTTCATCCACCACAACTGTACACCTGAATTCCAGGCCAATGAAGTTCGGAAAGTGAAGGTCAGAAGGGCAATGATTGTGGCCAAGAGCTCCTGGGAATTGCTCTAAGGTGGGGTGGGGGGTTGTTCTGCTAATTTAGGATCTTTTCTTCCCACTGAGATTTATTATTGAGAAGAACCCGAGACCCCATTATTTAAGGCAGAAGAGCACCAGGTGGACAGTGTCTTCAGCTCACCCATGTTTCTTAGAGGTGTTTGTGTGATTTCATCCTGTGTCACTGACAAAAGGGAAGTTAGGCACAGATACCATGCTTCAGACTAAGAACCTTATGAAAGTGGTTCAGAAATGCACTGCCCTTTCTCTCCATCCCTTCCAGAAATACGAGCAGGGATTCATCACAGACCCTGTGGTTCTCAGCCCCAAGGATCGTGTGCGGGATGTTTTTGAGGCCAAGGCCCGACATGGTTTCTGTGGTATCCCAATCACAGACACAGGCCGGATGGGTAGCCGCTTGGTGGGCATCATCTCCTCAAGAGACATTGATTTTCTCAAGGAGGAGGAGCATGACTGTTTCTTGGAAGAGGTGGGTACCACTAGCAGAGTACAGCCAAGCTCTGGCAGCCCAAGCTAACGAGGCTTCTCTTACCCGTATGACATCTCTGAGTGCCTCTCCGTTAGGTTCCTGCTTCATCTCCCCACCCGAGGCTCTCAAAACTGTACAGATGCTTGTTAGTATTCATGCTTTGTTCTTTGCCACCCCTAGGGTCAGGACAGTGCTCAAGGATCAATGTCAGCCCTCATAATTATCTTGTCATTACTCCTGTGTGGTCGTCCTTTTTCCACAGAGTCAGAGGCAGACACTATGCCATAATGTCCTTTCCAGTCAACTCTCCCTCTTACTGCTGTATTCCTATAAAAACTAGAGTTCTTTCAAGGAAAAGTGGTTTGGGTGCAGGTGTGTGATCATGGTGATCTTATGAACACCCCTGAGTTAGGGCAGAGTCTTCGGGGAAGTCTGTTCTATGGCCTCTCCTCACAACTCCCCTCCCTCCTAGATCATGACAAAGAGGGAGGATTTGGTGGTAGCTCCTGCAGGCATCACACTGAAGGAAGCAAACGAAATTCTGCAGCGCAGCAAGAAGGGTAAGTCCTAGAAGTGGGAAGGAGCCAGGAGCTGATGCTCAGTGTTCTGATTCATGCCTTTCCCTGACCTCAGGAAAGTTGCCCATTGTAAATGAAGACGACGAGCTGGTAGCCATCATTGCCCGGACAGACTTGAAAAAGAACCGGGATTACCCACTGGCCTCTAAAGATGCCAAGAAACAGCTGCTGTGTGGGGCAGCCATTGGGACTCATGAGGATGACAAGTACAGACTAGACTTGCTTGCCCAGGCTGGTGTGGATGTAGTGGTTTTGGTGAGCTGTTACAAAAGCAGGGTGGGGCAGTAGGGGCAGTTGCTGTATCACAGTCTGACTGGAAATTATTTCCTGTCCCAGGATTCTTCCCAGGGAAACTCCATCTTCCAGATCAATATGATCAAGTACATCAAAGAGAAATACCCTAGTCTCCAAGTCATTGGAGGCAATGGTAAAGCAAGATTGGACATTCAAGCACGTACTGTGGGAGTAGGGAACCTGGGCTCCCCCTGGACCTTCACATGAGCCTTTATTCTTCACTGTAGTGGTCACTGCTGCTCAGGCCAAGAACCTCATTGATGCCGGTGTGGATGCCCTGCGTGTGGGCATGGGGAGTGGCTCCATCTGCATCACCCAGGAAGGTAAGAATATGCTTTGGCAGGGCCCACAGAGATCCTGGCTTCAGGCCTCATATGCCATGGAGGCTAAGCATCCTTATGGGAGCAACTGAGTCCTCCAGTAGGGGCAACCTGGGACCAAATTGGCCTCTTGGATGGGTGACATGGCTGGAAGCAAGACGAGTTCTTGTCATCCCTCACCTGCCACTCCCTTGCCTAGCCTGGCCTCCCTGCTCCTGCTCTGCGCCCTCTCTAAACTCTGGTCTGTTTGTTTTATTTAGCGGCTCCCAAGATCCCTCCAGACATAAAGTCCCACAGCCCCAAATGCCCTTCTACTGTCACGGGCTGCTATAGTAAGTCCAGCCCGGCCCACTGGCCCGGCCCAGCTGCCCACTGCCCGGCTGCTTGGTTGACTGTAGCTGTAGCTCCCGGGGTTTGTGGTGCTGATGGGTGGGCAGGGCAAACTGATGTACAGACCATGGTTTTGGGGCTGCTCAAAAACACAGCTCCCTCTTCCTCCTGGGGCGCTGACAGGGCAGGACCTCCTTCCACAGGCAGGCCCTGCCCTGCACATCTTCTGCAGTAGCCATGGCTCAAGGACCAACTCTGGAGCCTGCTGTCCCTTCCATGTGACCACTGGCCTGATCTTGCCTGAACTGCTCACCAATGCAGGGAGGAAGGGCAGGGCCCTGACTCAAGTGCCTCTGGGTACTAACTGCACGGTGACTCCTGCCTCATCTGGTACCAGCTGGGTGGGGGCTTTCCCAGCTGCTAAAACTGCATGTGCCTGAGGCTGCCCTGGGCACTGCACACATGCACGTGCACACACGGGGACAAGTGGAGGCCAGCACAGCTGGCTGTAGTGTTCAAGGCAGATGGGCCAGCAGCCATCCCAGACATCTCTTTCTCAGCCAAGCTGCAGTCCTGGTGGAAGTGCAGCCAAGAGCCCTCAGGTGCTGAGGCCACAGGACCCGTTGCCTGTCCCCACTAACCCTCCTACCCATCTTCATCTCAACAGTGCTGGCCTGTGGACGGCCCCAAGCAACAGCAGTATACAAGGTGTCAGAGTATGCAAGACGCTTCGGTGTTCCTGTCATTGCTGATGGAGGAATCCAAAATGTGGGCCACATTGCCAAAGCCTTGGCCCTTGGAGCCTCCACAGGTGAGGCCCAGTACTCCTAGAGGCTTCTGGAACCCTTCTCCAGTGCTGCTCCAGCTCTGCCCCAAACATTCTGTCTGTCTGCAGTCATGATGGGCTCCCTCCTGGCTGCCACCACTGAGGCCCCTGGTGAGTACTTCTTCTCTGACGGGATCCGGCTAAAGAAATATCGTGGTATGGGTTCTCTTGATGCCATGGATAAGCACCTCAGTAGCCAGAACCGATATTTCAGGTAAGACAAGCAGGCCAGTTTCCCTACCCTACCCCTGCACTGACAGTCTCATGTCTGATTTGGCTTTGCCTGTATCTCTGTCTCTCCCTGCAGTGAAGCTGACAAAATCAAAGTGGCTCAGGGTGTGTCTGGGGCTGTGCAGGACAAAGGATCCATCCACAAATTTGTTCCCTACCTGATTGCCGGCATCCAACACTCCTGCCAGGACATTGGTGCCAAGAGCTTGACCCAAGTCCGGTGAGCTTGAGGAGCTGGGACATGGGTAGAGGGGCTGGTCTAGGGCCAGCTGCCCACATTTGACATTTGCCTCTCTTCAGAGCCATGATGTACTCTGGGGAGCTTAAGTTTGAGAAAAGAACATCATCAGCTCAGGTGGAAGGTGGCGTCCACAGTCTCCATTCGTAAGTCACCCTGCCCTTGGCGAAGGCCTCTGCCATGCTCCATGCCTCCTTCCTCCTGCCCTCACCTCACAGGTGGTCCTTATGGTCCTTATGCCTGCAGGTATGAGAAGCGGCTTTTCTGAAAAGGGATCCAGCACACCCCCTCAGCTTTTTTCAATAAAAGTTAAGAAAAAATTATGCCTGATCTTTGAGGTCAATAGGCAGGTTGGGCTCTACATATATATTTTCTCTAACTAGAATCTCTACGTGGTCTTGTGGGGAAAGCCACTGAAGTACCCTCCAGTCTGCATGTAAGCAAGTAGCCGGATCTGGAACAGATAGATACACTACTTCCTAAGTAGTCTTGATAAAAAAAAGTGACCTCTTGTTTTCTTCGCATATCCCACCAAAAGCCTAGCAACACACCTGATACAAAATCAGAGAAGTGTATAAATTATTAATATGTTGGTTAGCAAGACAAATGTTAAGGTGCCAAAGGGGAGAGGATAGTGAAAACACTGGGAATCCCTACATTTCTCAAACTTGCCAGGGTCCTTATGGAATAAAGTCAGTTCCTGATGGTTTATTCTGTAGCTTGGCCTAGAGATGTGAGTGAAGTCCTTCCGGTTGGAGGGATGAGAGCAGCTCCAGTCACTCGGCCTTCATGACACAGGAAATTGAAGGTGGCACAGGCATTGGGCTGCAAAAAAAAAAGACCAGCATCAGCCTGTCTAGGATAGGCCTGAGCTCCCCACAGCACTCCCACATCCTGGGACTTACCGTGTCCTGCACTTCCACAGCAACACCCCGCTGCCTCATGGCTCGCAGCACCTGAGGCTGCAGCTGCTCAGTCCGGTCACCAGTGCCCACAACAACAATCTCTAGGGAAGGGAGGGCGTTGCTAGTCTACAACCAGCGCTGTTTTGAAGTTGGGTTAGGTGTGGCCTTCTGGGACTCAGCACCTCAGCCCGCCCTTCCCCTTCCCCTCATACCTATCCGGGGCTCCAGCATCCAAAAAAGGGAAAAGCTCTCTTCAGTGATGTCCTGGTGGGATCCTACCTGTATAAGGGAGGAGGCACATTCAACTCCACAAACATTCACACAGCCACTCCCTCCAGTTCTACTACCAGGAAACGCAAAACCCAAATTTGGCAGGGACAAAAATAGGGAGACGGCCTGTGACTCTGGGTCTGTTTCCTCATTGCGAGTCAAGGCTTACGTTCCACTGCACCACAGAGTACGGGAGCAGTGCGCAGGGCCCGAACACGCGGTTTCCGTTGACCGTGAAGCCGTGGCTGTTGTAGCTGTTGATGTACATGGTCTGAGGAGACTCGCGTTGCAGCAGAGAGATCTGCGTCCGCTGATATAACTCGTCATCCGCCGGCGAGAGCCGATGCCCACGCCGTGGGGCCCTGCGGAATGGAAGGATTAGAGGGTAGGGAGCCCAAAGATGCAGGACTGGGGATTACTGGCCCTGGGGGACAGGATGGTCAGGGGCGCAAGCTCTGGCTCACCACGTAAACTCAACAGGCAGACGGCGCAGCGTGGGTCTCCCTTGGTACAGGCAGCGAAGCGCGAGAGCGGCGGCCATGACTGACCAGAGTCTCTCAATGCCGTCTCCGGCACTGGTCGTCACGTGATTAGTGGAGGTTTGGCAGAGCCAGTGGGGCTACAGCGCCCCCTGTGACCAGGAGGGCACCATGCAGCTTGGTCGGCACAGCGAGCTAGTGACATCTGTTCCGGGAGGGCGAACCAGCCCCCCGCACGGCTCCGATAAGAGCACCTGCCGCCGGCCCCAGGCCTCTGCCGACCATCCCGGGGGAGTGGGACACCTGGTAGCGTGGTCGCCCCCAAGGCGTTGGCTTGGCCGCAGCCAGGGCCTGACTCCTGGGCTCTCAGTCATTAAGCAGAGCTCCCGGGACGCGGGGCGGGGCGGTTGCCCACCTGGTCGTGTCCCGCACACCTGGCCAGGGTATGATGCCAACCTCCAAACCCCTAATCACAGGCTTTGGGGCTTCACCCCGTGGGCAGGGCGGGCGGCTCAAGTTTCTCAGGCTCGACGCTGTATCACACCCACCCCTAACCGTCATCCGTGCGACCGTTGGTCGCGTCGCCGCGCGCAGAGGGAGGCGTGGCCGAGCATAGATTGGCTTCTCGGAAGAGCGAGGGGGCGTGGCCAGGTGGTTTCGCCTTAAAAATGGCTCCAAGTCTGCGGGTAGGCAGAGCAGGCGGAAGGGCGCGCTAGGGTTGTGTTTATGTGGCTGTTTGAGTGAGACCGAGCGGGCCGAACCGGACCAGATTAGAGCTAGACAGCGTCTGGAGCATCACCTTGTCCTCGCGCACTCTGCTCGCGTCCTGGGAGTCACCTGTCCCCCGTCTTGAGCCAAGTCAAGGGCCTACTGGCACAAGAGTCGCTGGCGCCCGCGCGGGATTTGGGCATCTCGGCAAGCCGGCTCCGTCGTGGCCTCGGGGGAACATTGTCGCGTTCGCTACCCGCGGGGCCGGGCGAGCGGGAGGCTCTGCACAGTGGGGGACTGGCAGTGGGTCTCCTAGGGCCGGTCGCCATGGGCTTCTGGGGAATCCTGCCGCTGCTGTATGGGCCCATTCAGCTTCTAGTGCTCCGGGCGCTGGCAGCGTCACCGGACAAAGGGCCCCGAGCGCGGGGGTGTCCCCGAGGCGGACGCGCGGGTTTACTTCCTCTCCGGCCCCGCGGGCGCGCCTCCCTCTGGGCGGATTCTGAAGCCCGCCTCGCCACCGTGACTGCACCAGTGGCCCTGGCTGCGTGGGACAGACAGGGCTAATCCTGCCCCGCGAATCTAATCCGGATCGGGACCCGGTCCCAGGGGAGGCCCCCACCTCCCCTTCTATTGTTCTAGTGTCCAGGTGAGCGTCTCGTTCCCACTAGACTCGGTTTTACATCCTACTCCCGGATCCACCTCCTGGACGGGGGATGGGCGGATTCTGGTCTGGCCCTAGGGCAGTGACCTGGGGGCAGGAGCCCCCTTTCAACGGCGGGACAGCGGGCAACGGAATCCCAAAAGCAGCTGTTGTCTCCAGAGCATTCCAGCTGCGCTTGGATTTCGTTCCCTGCTCTCCTGCCTGAGCAGCGCCCTGGCCCAGATGCGGTGGCCCCTGACCGACAGTCATACTTTACTGAGCCGCTCTGGTCTCAGTTCCTCTCTCAGGTGTACCCTCGGGTTGCAGGCGATGGGCGTAGACATCGGAGAGCCGAGGCTAGTGGCCATCTCTGGAACCCCCGGGGAGTATTGGCGAAGGAGGGTGGATGTAGGACTTCAGGGTAGGGCTGCGATGGTGGTGAGTCCCCCAGGGCCGCCCCAACCCGCAGCTTGCTAAAGATAGCCCTTCACTTCCTGGGGGAAAACCACCCCAACCGTCTTCGTGGACGAGAGTCGCTTAAGTCCCCAGCTTGGCCGCGGGCCCCCAACCCTGCTAGTTAGCAGCTGTCTCCGTTTATGCACCTTCGGCATGGAAAGCGCTTTGGAATGACACGATCACTCCCGTTGAGTGGGCACCCAAGGAGCCATCGGGAATGTCGTGTCCGCCCAGTGCTCTTTCGACGCCTCACAGCAGGGCCTCACAACCCTGGCCCGAAAAGGGGCTTTGCCAAGCTTTTCCTACACCTGGGTTTCCCTCCTTTTCCAAGTTCTGGGCACAGAGATCACAGAGTTCCACCTCCCGAAATGTTGCTTCCAGCGCTCTGTGCTAAGTCGGGTTAGGTCTCTATTAAAAGGGATCCGGGGGTTATGTTACATTGAAATGAAAACATTTGGGAACTCTCGTGGGACAGAAAAAGAGCTTTCCCACTGATAGAGGAGTAGGATGCTCCAAATGAGGTCTGTTTAGCTGCTTCTCATGGTCACACTATTGGCCCATAATGGCTGTTGCTTAAAACAGGAAGCATGAGGATCGTTGTTAAGGTATACTGGGTTAAAGGAGAGCACATTAAAAGCTGCTAATTCTGAAAACCATCCTGATGGTTCTAATTCCTCAGGTATCCAAGAGAAGAAAACCGGCAATTTTATCAGAGTGTGCATTTATTGGGATTAAAAGAACATCCATAACTCAAACGAGGAAGTGCATGCAAATAATCTGAAACCGTGGAAACATTCTTTTAAAAATGAAATGTAAATAGGTCATGAAAGTGGCCTTAATGTTGCTGCCTTATTCCAGTGACAACTTATTTCGAACTTTTGATGTTTTAATCGTGTAAAGTTGGGGAAATAAGCCGGGCTCAGTGGCTCAGCCTGTAATCCCGCGCCTTTGGGAGGCTGAGGTGAGTGGATTGCCTGAGCCCGCGGGTTCGAGACCCGCCTGGGCAGCGAGACCTTATCTCTACAATAAATCAAAAAATCAACCGGGCGTGGTAGCGCGTGCCTGTAGTTCCAGCTACTTGGAAGGCTGAGGCGGAAGGATCGCCGGAGCCCAGCAGGTCGAGGCTGCGGTGGCCGGGAGCGGCCACTGCACTCCAGTCTGGGCGACAGAGTGAGACTCCAACTCAGAAAAAAAACAAACAAAAATAATAAAGTTGGGGAAATTAAACATCACACAAACACAAAGATGTGAGACTTCGATGAAAAGAGAAGGTACCCTGTCTGAGCTCCTACTCGGTCGCGAGGATCCTTTCCCTAGGTTAATGCCTGGCGACAGGAGAGAACCCTGGGCACGGGGAGGGCCCCGAGATTTCTGACCCGAAACTTGCGGTGCAGATGGGCCGCGTGGAAGTGGCGCAGCAGACACCGCTCCCTCGGGCGCACCTGTCCACTAAGGAGGACGGCCGCCGGATCCCCGCCTCCTTCGGGCGGCCCTTCCGGAAGTTCCACCTCCCGAGATGTTGCTTCCGGTTCCACTCACTCCTTCCGATCGTCATGGCGACAGAGCGTCTTGGGGTGGAGGAGACGCTGGGGGCCCTTAATGCAGCCCTGGGGCCCGGTGGCCGGGTGTGGATCAAGGAGACGCGCGCGCGCCACCTGCGCGCCCGAGACTTCCTGGCGCCGCGACGTGCGCTGCAGGCGCGCTTCGAGGACGGACAGGTGGGCGCGAGCCGGGCAGGGTCGCGCGGCCAAAAGTAGCAGCGAGCGCTGCGGCCGGCTCACAAGCCCGTCCCCCGGCAGGTGCCGGAGAATGTGTTCCGTGCCGTCGCTTGCCTGCAGGGCCCCGGCGTGGCCCCGGTGCTGCGCTGCGCGCCGACCCCCGCAGGGCTGTCGCTCCAGTTGCAGCGGCCCGCCGTCTTCGAGCGCGTGCTCGGCGCCGTGGCCGCCTATGCCGCGCCCGCCTCGCCTGCCTTGCCTGGCCCACGCGTTCTGCTGCACTGCCCGGCGCTGCGCGGCTCCCCCAGCGAACTCCGCCTGAGCCAGCTGCGTACAGTGCTCGTGGCGGATCACCTGGCGCGAGCTCTGCGCACTCATGGGTGAGCGGGGCCAGAATGGAGAAGGTGGGAACCACTGGGGATCTAGAGAGCCGCACCGCCCTTGGTGACAGCCGCTGCGGGCGGGGTGGTGGTGGGAGGCTGGACCAGGTGCGTAGGCTGAGGGGGCCGCTCTCCCCTCTCAGAGCGTGTGTGCGTCTATTGCCCGCTGTGCGGGATCCACACATGCTGAACTTCCTGAAGCAACTGCGGGTGGACTGGCCCGCTGCCTCAGAGAGAATCTCCACGGAAATTCTGAGGAGCCGCGCGCTTGCACAGCTTACCTCTGCTCACAATGGGGGTACACTGACCCCCGGCGTCCTGGGCAGTCTGTGTCTGAAGGAGCTGGTCAAAGAACAGGGCCGCGCAGCTGGCTATGACCCCAACGTGGACAACTGTCTGGGTAGGTCTTGGAACTGAGCAGAGCCAGAAGAGGTGAGTGGTACCTCTGCACTCCTGGCCAGCTGCAGCACCTGTTTTCTTTGCAGTGACTGAGGATCTCCTCTCTGTGTTGGCCGAGCTGCAGGAGGCTCTGTGGCACTGGCCCAAGGACAGCTACAGAGGCCTGGTTAGTGACTCTCAAGCCACGTAGGCCTCTGGCAAACCAGGTATCCTGTATCTCTGCAGTGACTGTCTTCCTTCCTTATTAAGGCTGGAGCCCCAGATGCTGATGCAGACAGCTGCCTGGTTATACATGTGGTGAGCTGTGAGGAGGAGTTCCAGCAACAAAAGTTGGATCTGCTTTGGTGGAAGTTGGATGATAAGGCTCCACTCATACAGGTAGCTTAGTTATGGTGGAGCTTGCCACCACCTCAGCCCCAAACCTCAGGGGCCCTTGAAAACCCACCAAGAGGCCTGCTAGCTGACAGGTCTCGAAAGTGACACAACCTTGTGGGAGGTGCTGGACAGCAGGTACAGAGGCCCTAGAAAAGCTGTGGTCTGAAGGCACATCCATGGAAGAATAGGTTGAAGAGGTTGGACTGTAGTCTAAGGGGTTGGGCTTGAGGGAGGCACTAAACTTAGTGGTTACAGGTTGGGGAATCTGGGTGGAATAGAAACACCAGATTTGGGCTCCTTGAGGGACTTCTCGCTGGAGGGTAGCACCCACTAGGCTGAGCCCCTGCCATCTTCCTGACAGAAGCACCTGGTCTGTGGCCCAGTGAAAGTAGCTGGTACACCTGGCACTCTGATGACTGCCCCTGAGTACTATGAGTGAGTGATGCTGGAAGGCCAACCTAAGCTAGGGTAGTTGAGGTGGGGGGAATCTTTGCTGGGCCCCTGCCCATTGGCCGCCTTCTCTCACAGGTTCCGGCATGCCCAGGTATGCAAGGCCTCAGCACTGAAATATGGTGGGAATCTGGCACAAGGTACGCCTGCAAGACCCTGGCTATGCTCTGAGATTGGGACAGGTTATTTTTATTCCTGTCCCTTGTCTACAGGAACTAACTGACCACCTTTACTCTCCCAGACCCAGCCTGGACAGAGATCTTTGGGGTTCTCTCTGTGGCCACCATCAAGTTTGAGATGCTAAGCACAGCCCCACAGAGTCAGGTAAGCCTGGAAGCCTCACAGGCCCAGGGTTAGGCAGACAGTGTGGTGGCTTCCCTCTCTCTGCAGCTGTGCTCCCATTCCCCAGCTCCTCCTGGATCCGGCTGATAGCACCATCTCCACAAAGGGCACAAAAAGTGGTACCTTTGTCATGTATAATTGTGCTCGTCTTGCCACACTCTTTGAAAGTTACAAGTGCAGTATGGAAAAAGGTCTATACCCTACTTTTCCACCTGTGAGCAGTCTGGACTTCTCACTACTACATGATGAGGTGAGTGTCCCTTCTGGTAGCTGGCACAAGCGGGAAGCTTGGCATTTTTCTTCCAGCACCCTTCTCCCCCCACAGGGTGAATGGTTGCTGCTCTTCAACGGTGTCCTCCCCTTCCCAGACCTAATGAGCCAGACCGCAGTCCTGGACCACACAGCCCCAGGGCTCCACATCACTGTACACACAGAAACGGTGAGGCACAGAAAACCAGGACAGACATTCCACACTCTAATCTTTATTCTGGGATGGGGAATGACAGCAAAGAAGACAGGCCAGTGACTCGGTCTCTATCTCTAGATGTGCAAGTTTCTGGTACAACTTAGCATGGATTTCAGCTCATACTACAACCGGGTACACATCCTAGGGGTAAGCACACAGCAAAACGGGGTAGGAGGTGCAGAGTAAAGGTAAGGACAGCAGAGGGTAAGACCAGCAGCCCTTTCTCCTCCAGGAGCCTCGACCACACCTCTTTGGTCATATGTTTGCCCGCCTACAGCTTCTGAGGGCCATTCGTGAGGTGCTCCACACTGGCCTGGCTATGCTGGGTCTTCCTCCACTGAGCCACATCTAAGGCCACAGAGGCCCCAGTATCTGGGAATGTTCACAAAGTCATCAACTGGGGAAAAAAACCAAAGCCCACACACGTCAAGAGTCTGGAGCCAAAATAAAATGCTATTGTTACAAAGTTTTGTCCTGTTGTGGAAAGTGGGGTATATTCCTGGCAGCACTCTACTTACCTCCAGCTCCTGAACCCGCGGCTGCCTCTTCCTCCCCTCAGGGCATACTGGGCATGAGCACAGTCAATCCCTGTTCTACTCTGTCTGCGAGCAGGCCCCCATGCCCAGCACACCGGCCACCGCGGGATACCTCAATCATACCAGTTGTAAACCTCAAGCCCCTGACCTCCAAGAGCACAGCGGTGGCCAAACTCAGGGCTCACAGACCAGCAGTCCATGTCAGCCACATCCGGCACATGGTACACAGTGCTGTTCATGAAGGTGGGCTCACCATGCCCCAGACGCCAAAAGGTCAGCCGCTGGTCAATGGAGGCTGAGACCATGAGGCTTGGACTTAGGATCTTGAGGCCTGTTACATGGGCAGCATGTGCACAGGGGATAGAGTATTCCTCTAGCACACGCAGCTGGGGTACCAGGTCACCCTCCCCCACAGCATCTTCTAGCTCTGGCATCTCCACAGCAAGCACAAAGACATGGAGGGAGCCATCTTCACTGCCACTGGCCACGAGATGATGGCCCTCACGTGTAGGTAAAGTATGCAGGCTGTTGACACCACAGCTGTGAGCCTGGAGAGTTAGGGAGGGGGTGCCCAGTCCTGGAGGAAGAGAATGGTTGTCAGGGTCCTGCCTGCCACGTGTGAAGGCAAAATGAGAGGTTGGGAGGGGCTGCAATGGCTGCACGCTAGCTACTCACGGTAGGGAAGCCCTGGGTCCACTGGAGGCTCCAGGGCAGTGGAGCCACGGTCTAGCACAGTGGTGAGATCCCAGAAGGCCAGGTTGCCATCAGTAGCTGCACTGCACAGAAGCAGCCTCCTGGGAGGCAAGAAAAGACAGCCAGGTCAGTGACAGGGATGGAAAGCAACACAAACCCCCACCCAACCCACACAGGACCATCATCCAGCCCCTTACCGCCGCTGGTTAGGTGCCTCATGTGTAAAGGAGTGCACCTTGAGGACGCACCGCTTATGGTGGAAGGTTTCAGCAAGGAGCTGCAGAAGCCGCCCAGAATCCTGCAAGAGAAAGAGCCTGGGGGGCGAGGGGTGATCCAGCTCAGAGCTCATCCTGGGCAACTTCACCTTTGTCTCCCCTCCCTGAGCCCTATGCTCTCACCTCACTGCACCATCACTACAGGCTGCAGCCACAAGGGGGCCAATGCCAGGTTGGTCAAGTTCACACACAGCAAGGGACATGTACCTGCAGAGACAACACACAGCTGTCAGGTGGAGCCTGTAAGCCTGGGGGTACCTGTGTGATCTCACCCAATATCCCCACCTGAAAGTACATGTTACCTGGTCTCTGGGTCCACCTTGACCATCCGATGCCGATTGCGCTGCCGGTCCCAGTACTCATCTAGCCGGTGGGATGAAAGGTGCATGACATGGCAGGCAAGGTGGCTTGGGGTACTGGGGTCTGGAGTGACCATGATGCTGAAGCAGTGCATCTCGGCCCGTCCCCCCGCAGACACGACATGGGCAGTCAAGCCGGGCTGAGGATCCTGAGGGTCACCCGGTGTTCCAATGCCCCACACAGCCACAGCACGCACCGAGGAGATATGATTACAAACGGCTGTGAGTGCGTGGGCTGAGCCTGTGGTTGTAGGGAGTGCCAGGACACAGACGGTAGTGTCCTCACTGCATGTGATCACAATGTCAGTCAGGCCGGGCCCCTCATTGCCAGGCTCCAGGTCATCAGGCTGCTCGAAGCTAGGTACTCCAAATTCAGGCCCCAGGGTGATGGGGCCCACACGCTTTACACAAGTGATCTCACGGCCATGGAGACCCTCCCGGAGAATCACATGTGGTCGAGTGCAGCCACCAAGAGCCCGGTACAGCATAACATCCCCATCCTTGAGATAGGCGAAGGCCATAGCTGCCTCAGTATCAGAGAAGGCCCAGGATCGGTGCCCTCCACCACAGTTGATGATGTGCAGCTTCTCGTGTGATCGAGGGCTCCATACCACAAACTCATTGGCATGGAAGCCTAGGATGACCATGCTCCCATCAGGCATCATGCGGAGCCCAGCCAGCCAGTTCATGCCTCGACAAGACTTCTGCCTTAGGACTGGCTGGAGCTGGCCACCTCGCACAAAGAGCTGGTAGTAGGCGCCATCACGCCCTGTGGTGTACACGTAGCCACCATGACATGTGACTGAGGTCACACCCTGCTTCCCATGCAGAGAATGCAGGGTGGACACAGGGCTCAATCCAGCCAAAGCATTCTCATCCCCACCACTGCCACTACCAGCTCCAAGTGTTCCAGCATCAGCACCAGCCCGAGCCTTACCTCCCACCCCAGTGTCCTTGAGCAGACCTGGTCTGGAGGGGAACAGCAGCACAGAGCCCCGGCGGTCCCCACATACCAGGAAGTCACCTGGGGGTAGGAAGGCACTGCATGTGTGCCATCTCTGCTTGCTTGGGGGCAACAGGTACCGGCAACGCTCCTTGACAAAGATGGCCTTGCCAGAGGGCGCAGCTGAGATCTCCAGGCAAGCCACTACCCCACCAGGGCCTGATGCCAGCAACAGGAGCTCCTCATAGCCACGCAGGGCCCAGCTCAAGCTGTGCACCTTCCCAGGGAACAAGGTCTGGTCCACAGCAGCAGTTGGAGTGTTGATGGGGACGACCTTGACACGACCCTCTCCATTGGCCATGGCACACAGTCCAAAGCCCTCAGGACCAGGGGCTGCCTCCAGCAAGCAGTAGGACTGGAAGTGCTTATCCTCTAGCAGTTGCTCCCAGCACTTGACCTCGAGGTCATAGAGGTACAGGACCCCTGTATCAGTCACCACCAGCAGTCGCCAAGAGCCAGCCAGCGTCACAGCCTTGAGGGCACCTGGCCTACTACGGGACTTGAAGCAGAGAGCTGAGACCCCCAAGCTTGGGTATCCACGACCTACCAGGTGCCATAGCCGAATGCCTGAGTCATCACCCCCAGTGATCACCCAGGCCTGCCTCTCATGGGCAGCTATGGACCGGATCCCACGGCCCTGGTGGCCCCTAAAAGCCTGGAGGATCTCACCTTCATGGCTCCACACCAAGCAGACACAATCTTCTCCAGCACTGATAAGGTACTCTTCTAGGAGTTTGACCTGCCACACGCGGGCGCTGTGCCCAAAGCAATGCCCAATATTCTGTACCCGACCCCCAGGTACCCGCAGGTCACCCACCTTCCAGATACGGACACTTCGATCTTCTGAAGCTGTAGCCAGCAAGCCCTTGCTTTCCAGATACGACATGCTAAAGATGACACCCACATGCCCACTGACACGTCGGTCAGGTGCCACAGGTTTGCTATCGACTAAGGCTGTTGCTGGGTACCAGACCAGAAGCTGGTTGGAAACAGCACCTGCCACTATGGTCAGCTCCTTCCAGGTGTTTCCAATCAGGCAGGCTGAGGAGAGAGTGCACCTATCTGTGCAGGGCACCTCCTGTAGGACACATCCTATCACAGGGTCATACAGCATTACTGAGTTGTGGCCCAGGGCTAAGGCCATATTCCCCTCGAGCCAGCGTGCATCCCAGATCCAGTCAGACATGTTCCACAGGCCAGAGCGCCAAAGTTCCCGGAAGTGGCCCTGTCCCCAGCTCACTTTCACGACTCGGAGTCCCTTGCTTCCAAACACAGCCACCATGGCCTCTGAGTCAAGGTCTCCATTAGGCTCTGGCCGCAGCCGGAACCCATGGATAAGGTAGTGGCCGAGCAGGTTCTGCACTCGCTTCATCATCCGCAGATGCCCACCAAAGTCCAAGCTGTACACCAGGACATCAGGTCCCTCACCTAAACAGAGGCAAAAAGCCACATAAGAATTCTGCACCTAACTTTAATGACCCATAAGGAAGAGGGGGCAGGCAGGAAGACATGCAGTCTATGAATGCATCAGGACACATAATCCTGTAGCTTGAATCTTGAGAAATCCTTGGTTTCAGCTTCAGTTGGACTTTCAGCACTGACTCTGCTCCCCTCATCAGTCACTCTTAACATTTGGTTCAATAAAAAATTTCTCAAACTCCCAGCCTCCTCCACACCCCACCTCACTTTTCAGACAGGAACCCTCTCAGCTTTAGTCCCTAAATCCTCAGCCTCCTCCATCTCTACATGCATCCTCCCTCCCCCACAGGAGACAGTCCTGGCTAAGACAACCCTGTCACCCTCAGGGCCACTCCCAATTTCCAGGAGCATCTTCCCTCTATCTTGGAAGATGTGAGCATATTCAGTATCAATGGGGAGAACTCAGAGGAGCACCCCATGCTTTGACAGCAGAAGTTGGGGCTTGAGTCCTAGCCCTGCTACTGGTCAGCTATGTGAGATCCCCTTCTATACAGTGACTGAGGCTTACGAAGCCCCAGCATGGCCAGATGTGTTTGGTTCACACCTGCATTCGCAGCACTCTGGGAGGTAGAGGCAGGAAGACTGCCTGAGGCCAGGAGTTTGAGACCAGCCTGATCAATATAGCGAGACCCTGTCTCTATTACTTAAAATAAAAGAATATCTCAGCACAGCAGCAGCAGAAAGAGCCCTCAGAAGGAATAGATGAGATATAGTCATCTAGAGCCTAGACATCACACAGCAGAAACAAACAAAAACCTCTTTCCTTGCTTCTGTGATAAGCATTCTTGTTTTCCTCCCCTTTCCTAAGTCTTCACTAACTGGTGCTCCCAGAGGCTTGTCTAGCACTTCCTTCCAAACAACTCATGTACTTTTTGCATGGCCTCATACACCCCAACTATGTGTATGCATACACCCAGATAAACCTGGATCATTCCAGGACCCTCAGCTGCATCTTGGCTGTCCTGCAGGCACCTTCCACTCTACTAACATCCTCCCCAAATTCTCTCAATGTTCCCTATTCCAGTGATCATTACTACCCTCTGCCCATCCCCTAGCCAAAAACCAGGAAGCCCACAGAATACTCTTCCTTTAATTTCCCTCATCTGTCTCGAAATTTAGTGAATTTCATTTTCTAGAGTTTGCAATCCTCCCACCAATGACCTTCGTCCAGGCCATCACTTCTTATCTGAGATGACAGCAAGACCACTCACAACACTCCTAACCTGCAGCCTCAATCTTCTGGCACTCAATAAACAGTTATTGAACATCAGTTATAAACCAATGAACTAGATGCTGAAGCAGTGAATAAGACAAGCACAGACCCTGCTCCTATGGAATAGGCAGATATTAAACTATATCACACAAGTAAACTACATGTTTTAATTTTGGTAAGTTCCAGAAAATAACTATATAAGTTGCTTTAAGAATATAAAATTAGGCCGGGCTCAGTGGCTCAGTCTGTAATCCCAGTACTTTGGGAGGCCGAGGTGAGTGAATTGCCTGAGCCCGCGGGTTCGAGACCCACCTGAGCAACTTGGCAAGACCTCATGTCTACAATAAATAAAAAAATTAGCCAGGCATGGTAGCGTGCACCTATAGTTCCAGCTACTTGGAAGGCTGAGGCGGAAGGATCGCTGGAGCCCAGCAGGTCGAGGCTGCGGTGGCCGGGAGTAGCCACTGCATTCCAGTCTGGGCGACAAAGTGAGACTCCAACTCAAAAAAAAAGAATATAAAATTAGGCCAGATGCAGTGGCTCACGCCTGTAATCCCAGCACTTCGGGAGGCCGAGGCGAGAGAACTGCCTGAGCCCAGGGGTTCAAAACTAGCGTGGGCAACTTGGCAAGACCTTGTCACTACAATAAATCAAAAGCAGCTGGGTGTGGTGGCGCACACCTGTGTTTCCAGCTTATTGGAAGTCTGAGACGGAAGGATCCCCTGAGCCCAGTAGGTTGAGGCTGCAGTGGCCATGAGCATGCCACTGTACTCCAGCCTGGGTGACAGTGAGACTTCGACTCAAAAAAAAAGAATATAAAATGCGTTAGGTGTGGTGGCTCATGCCTGTAATCCCAGCACTTTGGGAAGTGGAGGCAAGAGGACTGCCTGAGCCTAAGGGTCCAAGACCAGCCTGGACAACTTGGTGAGACCTCATCTCTACGATTAAAAAAAAATTTAAGGCCAGGCTCGGTGGCTCAGCCTGTAATCCCACGCCTTTGGGAGGCTGAGGTGAG